ACATGATCTACTCGACCACCAGTATGGTTACCGCCAAAAAAAAAAAAAACGGAGGTAAAAAAAAAGCATAACTATCCCGATGGCAAACACCGGGAGGGGCGTCTTGTATTACAACGTCGTTGCCAAGCGACGAAAACCCAACCCCGATGGCAAACACCGGGGGAGGCGNACGAAAACCCAATCCCGATGGCAAACACCGGGAGGGGGGGGGGTACTCATAGTCGTGCTTGCCGTAGTCGTTAGACCATTGACCTCGCATACCTACACAGCCGGGAAGGAGCACGCCGGGTTCTCGCCGGACCAGGCTCTCACATCACCAAGCGCGGATGACCGTGAGGTATTCGGCAAGTCTCATGAATGGTGCGCTGCATCCTGCGAAGGGTGTTCGGCATCTTGTGCTTACTTCCTTGCGTATGACAGCTGCGTACGACTTAATTTGTCTTCTGGTGCTTTCGCTTCCACAGACAGTTGTAAGCGCTGTGTAATTACCTCGAGGGTGCTTGACCATTTTAACACAACGTGGTGCGATTATCCCCTTTGCGCGGAGTGAGGGTTCTCGACCACGCACAACATAATCTACTCGACCACCATTCATAGTTACCGCGAAAAACAAAACCCAAGAACAAACAGCGGTAACCTGGTTGCTGAGCTCACGAGGTGATCGGCTTGTTTTACAACATGGCNGGGGGGGGGGGGGGGGGGGGGGGGGGGGGGGGGGGGGGGGGGGGGGGGGGGGGGGGGGGGGGGGGGGGGGGGGGGGGGTCGATCTCGGAAGTGATGTGTGGCGAGGGGCGGGTAGATGGGTTGCTGCCGTTCCGATCCTTGAAGGCATGATGGGTGTCGAACAACGCGCCACGGACATTTTCACACGTGTGCACGGTAAACCGCGTTACCGAGCGCCTCTGTGTGTCCATCCTGATGTCAATCCTTGATGTTCGTCATCTCGGAGAATACGACGGGTCGCCACGCTAACTCATTGAATGCCGCGGACTCCGCTTTGCCGCAACGCGACCAGGATCGATCGATCAAGTTACTTTGTCGCCGCGCCTATTGTTCTCGTTTGTTGCGATGGCTTTTTTTGCTGCATCGCAGCTGCAAGGCAGCAACGTTCCGCCCGTGGGTGTGGCGCGTGTTACCAGTCTGCCATGCTTCCTTTTTGATTTTTTCATCGTTCATAGTGGGGCTAGCACCACACGGCACGCTGTTTCCTCGTGCGACACAGACAGCTATCTCTGAGCGAGATTCGTGTGTGCTACATTTTTGTGTTTGCGGCATTGCAGTTTGTAGTGTCGTCATCGTCATGCGTTTGTTTTTCGTATGTTTTCGGGGTGCTTGTTTGTATGTCGCAGGTGGGCGAGGTCATTGCCAAGTCTGACTACATACTGGTGGCGGCAGCGTTGACGCCCGAGACCACAGGCATGGTTGGAGCCGCGGAGCTCGCAATGGTGAGTATCCTGACTACAGGTGATGTTTCGTCGGTGGAGGCCAGGCCAGCACACATGCGAAGAACGAATTTTCTGTCTGGATCACTGCCAGGCAGTTCATTGTAGACCGAATTGGCCGTTTCAAAACGGTCTCGGTCGACAGTGCCCGCTACGGGTACATTCGCTTAGCTTGTGCAGGCAAGAGCCGCACGCATGCGAGCTCTGCCAGCACCTCGTTGTTCTTGCTGTGGTGTAGCACGTCAATTTTGTCTCGGTGTCGTTCGATTTTACGTGCCATTGCCGCAGAGCATCTTAGGCTGCAATGTCCCCCTTGTGATCCTCGCCAGACTGACTGGTCCAAACACCGTGGCAGCGATCAGCATCACGTGCAGGAAACTCGCGATGATGCTCAACCGATTGCATTATTGCTACCGCACAGTGAGCTTTTCTCTCTCATCCCACTCTTTCTCTATCTGCAGGCGAGACCCCACGCCGTGATCATCAACATAGGCCGTGGACCTCTCATCGACGAGGAGGCGATGACACAAATGCTGCGGGATGGACGACTGAGGTGTGTGTGTGTGAGAGAGAGAGAGCCAGAATTGAGACAGGGGGGAACAAAGAGAGAGAGCCAATGTAGCCAATCAATACAGAGGCGAGAACAACGAGAGTTTTTGTTTGGGTCCCGTTATTTTTCACAATGCCATCGATGACCGACCACTATTTAGATGCTTCAGACATATTGTCCGATAACCCAAACTGCGGAATGAGGCACCAGGGTGTTTCTATTTTCCGAATACAATGCGGGGATAGCTTCCAGCTCAGCCGACTGATTTTATGTCGTTACTCCTGACCCACCTTTGCCCTGATCTGATACTCCGCATACCGTCTTCCCTTCGTCCATTTTTTGTTGCGTCTTTTTTGGCACTTGCCGACACGAAAAAAAAATCAAGGGGTGCTTCTTTGGACGTGTTCTGCAAAGAGCCCCTGCCCGCGGAGAGCGATCTGTGGGGCTTGGAGAACGTGCTGCTGTCGCCTCACAACGCCGACCTGACAGCGCACTTCTTGAACGACAGCGTCCGTTTGTTTTCCGACAACGTGGGCAACTTTGTCAAGGGCGAGGAGGTGTCGATCCACCTTGTGGATAAGAGAGCGGGATATTGACCTGCACTTTCTCCGATTCAGCGTTGTAGGCAACGTTGTCAAGTTTTGTCCAAAGGGGAGAGAGCAGACAGCGAGAGGGCAGACAGTCTTACTGTAATGATGTAGTCAAATTGGTCGGTTGGGTTGTTACTTCAACGTGGGCTGCTTGGTTTGGTCTGTCATGTTGGTATTCCCTGTCATGACGTGCTTCGTAGTGCTTTTAGAGTTCGATGCTGCACAAAAACCGGGGTCTGATGTGGTTGATTTTGTTTCGCTTTGTGTTGTGGTGCGTTTGGTAGACGTCAGCAGGATTTGTCCCTGGTTTTCTTTGATTGATTGGTTAATGCATCAATTAGATCGTTCTTGTGGTACTGGAGGTGGCCAAGTCACGTAAGGCTATCAGTCGGAAGTTTAACTTGGAAGATGACCCGAAAAAGTTCGATTTTTCATTTCGTGTGGACGTTGCAACTACTACGCTGTCGACGCACTTCACATTCACCGGCGTCTGTTGGCATTTGTGGTATGTTTCACCAGCCTGACGCACTGCCCAAACCAATGTCACGAAACAAGGGCTGCCGTAATCCCAGTAGCTTGTGTTCGTCCGGCAGGACATCGGGTATTGTCCCAAAGCTACAGTTTTATCCATGAAACGGATTCCATGTCAATTTTTTCAACGAAAGATTGTTTTTCTTGTACTTCTGCCTCTGCGCACAGGAGCAGCGTTGTGCACCATGACAATCGGCCACCAACAAAGGCACAGGTCGCATATCATTTAGCTGCTGCGCAATAGCGGGTACTTGACTTCAGAACTACATGAGACCTGCTGGTTGCAAGGGTGTGCGAAAAAAAAATTGCACACCTACGCATTCACTTATATAGGAGGATTTTTTGGGGGGGGAGGGTATGAAGTGACCATCTCCCCCCCCCAGAACGCCATCCTAAATCATATACAAAACCAAACAATACTAATTCCTCTATAAAGGGGCACCGTGTGCTCTATAGGGGACTACCGTGCATCTGCGTGCCCCCTAGCCATGTGCGCCAAGCGCCAGCGCGCCAGTACGGGCCGCCCGTAGCATGCACGCTGTGTTGTTTGTTGTTGTTTCTCGCATTAGCTGTATAGTCCACAAAAAATGGGGAGCCCGTGGTCTCAAAACCCGGCACATACAACGCCGCGGGGTAACAAAACAAAAATAGGGTACAAACCACTCGGAAACAAGGAAACGAAATGAACAGAAAATAACAGGTACCGCACCGATCGTTCGAGCAAAGAGCCCCGATCAAAAATAAAACAAAAACAATAATAAAGGAGGACGCTTCCCACACCCGCCTAAAGAAATAATCAAAGGGTAACGTACCAGCACCAGGCACCACGCACCAGGGCATGGGAGTAACGGAGCAAACAGGACAAAGAGGCAGCAGTTGGGCAGACAGCCAGATGTACAAAAAACAAAAGCAACAGCAAAAGCGAGATCAAGGTACGCAACACAACAGAGTAGGCAGGGAGGACATGAAAAAAATAGAGACACAGCACAGAGGCCGAAGGCAATACAAAGGACATACACAAAGGAGTATAGCATACAGCAGGGAGGGAAACAGGGCGCAACAACATCAGCCGGGTACATAGTTCGCCACAAGCGCGGCCTCGGCCGCCCTACTCGCTTCTACAGCAGTGACCGGTCGCCGTTTCTTCCCCCCCACCGCCGCTTCCCCGACTCTCTTTCTCTTCGGTCCTGAGATGGCCGTACTCTCTGCTTCTGCTTGCCTCGCGCGCTGGCGCTTCGCGGACGCTTCCGCCTCCTGCCTGTGCCATTTCCTCATGAGCCATGCCGCCCCGTCCTCGACCTTGTTGTACCACACCTCCGGGTCCTTGGCGCTCTCTTTCCATTAACCCCCTTCCTTTTCGTCTCCCGTGTTGAAGGCCACGAGGTCCTCTCCTAGACCAGCCACCCAGTCGCTCTCCTGCCCGCACCGGTATCCCACGCCCCCCGCCATCGCTCTTTAAAGCATGCGCTTGGGGAGGCGG